TTGTTCTCCTTTCTGCTGAAACGATGGGATACATGAATAGAGCTCTCCATCAGGCAATGTCTTCTGTGTGTCCACAATGATTGGAACCATTTCTGGATTCGTTGAGCAAATCTGAATCGATGGTTTGAGCTTTTATTAGGAAGGTAGAAATTGTTGAGACCTTTGTTAAAATCTCCATTCCTATAGATCTTTTTGCAGGTGTAATTCTTCTTAAAACAAATTCTGCTACGCGTGGCCTCACTGGCACCACCCGATATGAGGATGTAAGAGTCATTCCAGCAAGACGACGACTATTCTAAAAATTATCGTTTTTTAAAAATTAAATGCAAACTTTGCATGCTGTTGTGCATTCAAGATTAGGAAACTTACCTTTGAAATTGTCGGAAATTTATAAAAGAGTAACCAGTTTGTAGCGCTGTGTAGTACCAGTAGCATGTTGGACGCATCCGTCAAGTAAAAAGAGTTCATGTAGCGGTCAATGAGCCCTTCTTCATTGGATCTGAAATAAGTGTTAGTTTGGACAGGCAAATTCGTACAAGGTACTTTTTCTGAGCAGAAAAATGTTCGCCGAAATTGCTAATGGGCGATATTGCACTAAATACATAGGTCGTTCACCAGTTTTCTCATTATGCCTTATGTAATGTTGCACATGAGGGCAGAAGGGTAAAACTAACAGCAATTGCTATAACGAGAGTGGCCATTTCTCTATGATAGACGAAAACAAGAAAGCTCATCTTTTACGAAAAGCACATTTCAATACTGTATGCTTGAATAAGAAGTTCAGAGTAGGATAAACTAGGGTAGCGAAGAAGATAAAACTTTGAGGTTGAGGAAGAGAAATCCTAAGCATGATATTAGGTCTTATTTTACTCACTAGCAATCGATGTTTTTATCCAGAATGAAAGCCTTCAGATAGGATTCCTCCAGGTACCTAAGATCACTTCCTGCCAAGCTAATTAAGAAACTTTTTAAGACCACGATGTTACTCATCTCATACTGTTTAGTAAGCCTTAATCCTAATCGTCGGTCGCTCCTCCACCGTTTAAATTGATGAACATATTATTGTTGCTAATTCTGGCACAAACAACAAAGCGATCATTCAAACTTATTTTTGGAATTACTAGTTTAGAATTACACCTACGATTTCAAAGATGTCTTAAGTGTATGAAATTCAAACAGTGCGCATGGGCTTTACATCTGGACTATGCAATAACGCTCATTCTGCCATAGATACATATTTACGTATTTCACATGAAAAACCGTGCCGACGGGATAATAAGCGTCGCATCGTCATAACTCTCTAAATAGGTTTTTTATCAAAAAAAAGCAGTATCAGCTGTCTGTTATC